GGACACCTACCAAGCAGAACAAAGGTTGTTACAATGATTCACTCAAGTGGATCGATATCTTCAAACAAGAACAGACTGCCCCTTTGCAGTCTGCGCTGGATGCAATTCATGTCCAGTTCGGGTAAAAATTAACTTCACCGGAGCAATCCCCCCACTCACAAAAACTCACATTAGCAATTCTCCTGCCAACAGAAATGACTTTGAATCACAGACATGTGCTTCACTGCCATCTCCATTATCTTAATTGCCTGGGCAGTCAGCAGCATGTACGTGCGTCTGCAGCTGAGTGGAACACACTGGCTTTTAAGAGTTCTGCTGCAGTTCAGCACCAGAGGCCCTGCTTGTTTTATGCAACAACGAAGAGCGTCCGTCCCTCCCCCCCCCACTCAACGAGACATGGATGCTCTGTGCAGTTCTGTGCCACACAGGTGCATGACCACTGAGTGCCACACAAGCAAGATTGATTAAAATCAAACAAAATTTCATGAGCAGCACAAGAAATCATGATCTCACCTGATCAGATGAAAACACCAGAGGTGGAAAGTTCAGGTCCAAAAAGTACAAATCCAGATTAGGGTTTTGTTCCAACCAACCACTTAAATACTCTGACTGTGACTCTTTATGTTCAGCTGGTTGGTTGGAACAAAATCTTGGTCTGGATTTATACTTTCTGGGCCTGAACTTTTCACTACCGGAAAACACAAACATTTTAAGATGCCTGCTATAAATTTGCATGCATTATGCATGCGCATATAAAAACGGCTGCTGGCTTATGCTCAGGGGTGCGTGTCTGTAGTAATTTAACGTTAACAGTCACAGCACCTAGCTGAAGGCTGCACACAGTCCATCAGGCTAAATATCCCTCATTTCCTTTGAGACAAGCACCTGGAAAAATGATCACCCACCCTGTAAGTTCCAGGAGGCTGGCAGTGGCCCACAGACGGTAGAACACATCAGCAAAAGGGCGGCCAGAGTGAGATGTGCAGGCGATGCCCCTTTTTGCCCCCCTAAATGCCTCCCATTACAGTGCTTGCTAAGTGACATCCACAGTTTTGCTACTCTGATCAATGAAAGCATAGCTCAGCAGTCCATGCAAAGAGGAATTCATATATTTAGGGATATAGGTTTTGTTGTTCGTACATTTTAAGCAATGACTTAATTTTTGTTTTTTTTTTTTTGTGGGGGGGGCACCACAACCACCATTATTCCAGTGTCCTGGGACCAGTGGTGTGCTTCAAGGTGCTCATTCTCAGAGCAGACAGTCTCTGTTTCCTGTTTTTCAGTCTGGAAACAC